AAAATATTTTTTTTTAGTTATTGAAAGTCCATCAAAGAGTATATAAAAAATGAAAGCACTTGCTCTTCTGATTTTAAATTCTTGATTTATATGTTATAATTGCTGCTTGGAAAAAAAAAAAAAAAAAAAGTTGTTTTTTTGAAGATTTTACACCTCCCAGTATTTTCATTGATTCAAGTCTAATACTTTTGGCATTCTATCTTTACTAATAACAATTATGGTTATTAGTAATTAGTAGTATATTAAATTATCTAAAATAAATAAATGGAAAAGATCTACATTAAGAGTATTTAGTTTCAAGATAAATTTTTTAGTGAGAAATATTTTAAACCATAATGAAGATTGAATGTCAAATTTTATGCTTACCAAAAAAAAATGTTAGGATAAAAGATTTTTGTCTGAATTAGTCTATTCTCTGGTTTGTTACTTATAAACTTAAATTTAAATGTATAATAAGAATAATATAGTGGTATGACAGTAAAGGTTGAAGTTGAAAAACTTCATGTATTATCTGTGAATCTCGATTCACTGACACCCATAAATCTTTAAACAGTATGTAATCCTCCAGATGATTTCTGTAATTAAAAATTATAAAACATATGATAAGTATGAATGTGATTTTCTTGCAATGTTTTAAAGTCCAAATTTGATTTATCGTTATTGGAGTTAAACTAAACTTTGTTTTCAAACCGTTATAGTTATGGTGCAATGAGTTACTTTTTGTTGTTTGCCTGACAGTTTGCAAATATCTTTCTGAATTTGGCTAAGTGTCCTTACTTCATTTGTTATTGTACTTCAACATCACAAAAAAAAGCGTCAGAAAATGAATTGTAACATTGAAAAATGATTGACTTCGAATTGTAATATTTAATAAAATACATGATAAGAACAAATTCAAGCTTTTCAAAGTAATTTATTCACCATTGTCTTATAAAAGTTGGACTTGGCTGATGTCATTTTTTCACAGTGACTGAACGTACTAGTTTTTTTATATTTATTCATGGTTTGATGAAATTTTGACTTCAGTCTTTATTCATTCAAGATATCAGCAAGTGGAATGGAATTTTAATAAACTCGACAAAAGTATAACACGGATTAGTTATTTGTGTGCTTATATTTACTTATGCCTATCCGAATTTATATTTTCTGTTTTTGTCTCATGAATGTGATTTTTATACTTCATGTATTAAAACAGATTGACAAAAATCAGTACCCATCAATAACATTTTAGTTTTTCATCAGAAACACTGTCGTCATAGATTAACTTGCTATATATGATTTGCCATAAAATGTTTTGTTTTATTCATTCTCGAACACGACTTTTTTCAGACTTAGTAATTCAAAAAAATACTGCCTTTTAAAAGAGTGAAGATAATTTATAAGTTTTATTATAAAACATGGAACCTAAGACATTAAAGTTTCATATCTCTTATTTATGAATTTAATTCTGACCACAGTGGTTCGTGGTAATTATGGATTTTTTACGGAATAACAATTTGCAAGTCCTATTCAAGAAACACAAACAGTTGATACAATATATTCTAAAAGCTTAAAATATTATTACTTACCTTGTTAGCGATGACTGAACTATTTTTCTCAAACAAAATCCGATGCCTTTTAGAATAAAGAATCAAAGGATATCTTCAGTTTAGCCTAGTAACTTAGGTCTAACCGTTTTCTAGGGCTACTACTCGATCATACAACAAGAAATGGCATGTTGGGAACAAGTCACGAGGGAGAAGTCAGGCTGGCAGTATCATTAAAATGTGGAAAGAATAGATTTTGATTGATTAAGGCTTATCATTCGATTAGTATGACTAGGAGTAGGCACGCTTAGACGTAGCACATTTGCTTTACAAACTGTGTTCAAATATACTTGGTCAGAGCAGGGCTGTATCTAGTCATACTATTGGAACGCAAGCGAATCAAATGTATACACTTTACATTGCGCGATAGGCTTTCATCCACATTACACACAAACTCTCTCTCTTGAAGGCCCGGCATGGCCAGGTGGTTAGGGCGCTCGACTCGCAATCTGCAGGTCGCGGGTTCGAATCCCCGTCACACCAAACATGCTCGCCCTTTCAGCCGTGGGGGCGTTATAATGTGACGGTCAATTCCACTATTCGTTGGTAAAAGAGTGACCCAAGAGTTGGCGGTGGGTGGTGATGACTAGCTGCCTTCCCTCTAGTCTTACACTGCTAAATTATGAACGGCTAGCGCAGATAGCCCTCGTGTAGCTTTGCGCGAAATTCATAACAAACAAACTCTCCCTTGAAGCCCCCCATGGGCACAGTGGTATGTCTGCAGACTTACAACGCTAGAAACCGGGTTTCGATGCTCGTGGTGGGCAGAGCACAGATAGCCCATTGTGTAGCTTTGTACATAAATTCAAATAAACCAACAAACTCTCTTCAAAAATAAGTAGATTTGGTCAAATGATTTTTGTTAAGCATTTTCCCAAAAGAAATTAAGAAGGTGTACTTTCGACAAACGTACGTCTCTGAATTGTCAGTTTCCAACATTCCTATATGAAAAAGGGTCAAACAGAGTATCCTTGAACGCCTTGGCCACATCTCCAACTCTTAGTGTTGATAAATCAGCAGTATTATTATTAGTGCAAGCTTCATTTGGCAGCATGTTACTATTGTGGGATGTAAACATACCATGTGTTTTCTACCTTCTTATACTATTGTATTATTATTCTGTGTTTATCAGTTTCTTCTGAATATGTGCAGTTTCACTTAAATACGTGGTCAAGAAAGTTGCTAAGTTGATATCATTTTAACTGCCTTTGTTCCTCACCATTCTAATAAGGTCACACCTGTTCAATCCATGGAGGGTATGGCAGTAATGTTGTACGTTGTACAAGAATGTAAATGGCAATGTCGTTCAATGATAGATCAGGTTGTGTCTTGAGGTTACAGCCTCTCCTTGGTTGAATGAGAATGATTAGTCACGTGAGTAGTGCTTTTCGCTTTGGATAAATCTGAAATGACCTGAAGATAAGGAACACTGAATTTAAACAGTCTGGTAGATGATTTTGGCCTGATTAGTCTGAGAAAACAATTGCAATCCAGTACAAGTGACAGTCCATTGTTCAAAGTAAGCCCGGCATGGCCAGGTGTTAGGACACTCGACTCG